TCTAATCCTAAACCTAAACATAACCCTAACCCTAACAGGAACAGTAATCCTAACCCTAAACCTAATTCTAACCCAATCTTAACACTAACACTAACCAGAACCTGAACCCTAACCCTAAATGGAATCCTAACTCTCAACCTAGTACTAATACTAGCACTAACCCTAACCTTAAACCTACATAAAATCATAACTGGAATGCTAACACTAAACCTAATCCTAACATTAATCCAAATTTAACTCTAAATAGAACCCTAACTGAAATGCTAACTCTAATACTAACTCTACCCCTAACACTAAACAAAAATCAAAATCTAATGAAAACTCTAAGCCTAACAGGAACTATAACTGTAATCCTATGCCTAACCAAAACTCGAACCTAACCCTAATTCTAATCCTAACCCAAACCTTAGGCTTTACACTAATCCTAACCCTAACCCAAACAATAAACAGAGCTTAACTCTAACCCTTAGGGAACAGTAACCCTAACCCTAATTGGAACACTTACCGTAACCTTAACCCTAACCAAACCTTAGCCATAAATCTAACCCTAACACAAACTCTAACCCTAAAATTAAATGGAACTCTAACCCTAATCCCCAAACCCAAAATTTTACCCTAATCTGAATTGTAACCCTAAACCTAACACTAACCCTAATGCTATTCAGAAGCCCTAATCATATACAGACCCTAACTGCAATGCTAATCCATAACCCTTAACCAAATCCTAACTGGAACCCCAACCCTATTCCTAATTGGAATCCTAGCCTTAACCCTAACCATTCACTAATCCTAACCCTATCCAAAAAACTGAAACCTAACCCTATCATTAACCCTAACCCTCAATGGAACCCTAAGTGGAATGCTAACCCTAACCCATAACCTAATCCTCACCATAACCCTAACCCTAACCCCCAACCCAACCCTAACTCTAACTAATCCTAACCCTGACATGAGGCACCACTCTACTAACAGAGGGTAGATTCCACTACCCTTAATGCTAACCCTAACCAAACCCTAACCATACACCTAAAGCTAACAATAATACAAATCTTAACCCTAGTTGTACCCTAACCAAAACCCTAACACTAATCCTTACACTAACACTAATCCTAACCCTAAACCCTTAAACCTAACCTTAAAACTGTCTCTAATTCTAACCATAACTCTAACCCAACCCTCATTCTAACCCTAAAAATCTGACACGAGGCACACTATGCCAGCAATGGTGGAAGTCTGGAAACTCTAAACCTAACCTTAAATCTAAACATAACCTTAATCCTAAAGATAACCATAACAGTAACCCTAATGCTAACCCTAACCCAAGCCTAAATCTAGCATGAACACTAACCCTAATCATAAACCTAACCCTAGCTTGACACAAGGAACTATGCCAACAGTGGTAGGAGTCCAGGAACCCTAATTATAACCCTAACTCTGACATGAGGCACCAACTGCCAGTAGTGGTGAGAGTCTTAATGCTAACTCTAACCCTAACCTAACGCTAACTCTAACCAGAACAATAAACCTAACACTAACCCTAACCCCATCCCTGATATAAGGAAACACAATGCCAGCAGTGGTGGGAGTCTGGTAACCCTAACCATAAGCCTAACCGAACCCTAAGAATAACCCAAACCTTAACAAAATGTAACAATATGCAAGCAGTGGTTGCAAACAAGGAACCCTATCCATAACCATAAGATTACCCTACACTAAATCTAACCCTAACCCTAACCTTAACCCAACTCCAATTCTAACCATAACCCCAACCCTGACATGAGGCACCACTATGTGACAGTGGTTGGAATCCAGAAACCTTAATCATAACCCTAAAAATAACCCTAAACTTAACCCTAACATTAACCCAAACTTAACCCTAACACTGACCATAAACCCAAACTAACCTTTCTATAAACCCTAACCTTAATCCTAATGCTAACCTTATCCATAACCTAACATTAACCCTAACTGTAATCCTAACTCTAACCCTAAACAATAACACTAAACCTGATCCTAAGTTTACTCCTAACCCTATACCTAACATCAACACTAACCCTAACCCTGACATGAAGTGCTAATATGCTAGCAGTGGTGGGAGTCTTGAAACCTTAACCCTTATCATAACCAAGCCTAACCCTAACCCAACTCTAACGGTAAATCACCGAAACACTAAACACTGACTGAACCCCAATCCTAACTCAGAGGCACAACTATGCCAGCAGTGGTGGGAATCTAGAAACCCTAACAATAACCCTAATTCAAACCCTACCCTTAACACTAACCCTAACCCTCATCCCAACATGAAGCATCTCATTGCTAGCAGTGGTGAGAGTCCAGAAACCTTAACCCTAATCCTAACCATAACCAAGCCCTAACCTTAACCCTACTCAAGCACTAACCCTATTCCTAATCCTGACCTAACCCTAACTCAAACACAAGGCACAACTACGCCAGCAGTGGTGGCAGTCCAGGAACCATTACGCTAGCCCTAACTCTAACCCTAACCCTAGCCCCAGGCCTAGCCCTAACCTTCAACCCTAACCCTAACTGTAATCCTAACCTAACTAACCCTGAAACTAGATACTACTATGCCAACAGTGGTGGGAGTCTGGGAACCATGACATTAACACTCACCCTAACCCTAACTCCTATCCCCAGCCCAAATTCTAACCCTAACCCTATCCCTAAACCTGACAAGTGGCGCCACCATGCCAGCAGTGATGGGAGTCCGGTAACCGTAACCCGACCTAACTCTGCCTTCCTGAGGGTGTTCTTTCTGTGCTTTATCATTTGCCAAGGGCTGGACTTTTGGTCCACTGGGTAAGATGCCTACCCCCCACATGGAGATATGTCGGCTCAATTCTCTGCTTCTGACTCCAGCTCCCTGCATATGCAAACCAAGGAAGCAGCAGGTGATGTCTCACAAATGACAGTCCTTTACGCCCACACAGCAGACATGGACTGAGTTTCTGGCTGCTGCTTTGGCTTGGTTGTGCCCAGTTCCAGCCACTGGGGAGTAAGCCAGCAGTTGGGAGCATTACCTATCTCTTAAAAAGAAAAATAGCAGTGGATGCAGACCCTGATGCACATGGAGAATATGGCAATCCATTTGGTACTGTAACAGAGGAAGAACAGAGCGGACTGGACAACTACCCCCAGCAAACGAGGACAGCAAAAATCTGGGTGAATGGAGACTCTAGGTCGACTATGGCAGCCAAGTGGACATTGGGAGGGTTGCCTCACCCTAGGATCAGTAAAATTGACGGCATTTCAGAACTATCCAAGCCACTTGGTCAGAACCCTTGGGACCCTGGGTTTATATCTGGTGGCAGGTCCCCATCCCTGGGTACTGGGACATTTGCAAGGCTGGGTGTGGCTTCCCCCTTTTATCTCTCCCTTTTCCTCAGAGACAAGAAGAAACAGAAAATTTAGAAACAATAATTTTACTCACTTTTCCCTAACCCTCAATCCTTCTCACCCTGATCAACCATGTAATCATCAAAAATATACATTTAAAAAAATAGCAATGTGTTGGGCCCTGTGGGATGGCCTGGTGGCTAAAGTCCTCACCTTGAACATGCTGGGATCCCATATGGTTGCCAGTTCTAATCCTGGCAGCCCCACTTCCCATCCAACCCCCTGCTTATAGCCTAGGGAATCAATGGAAGTTGGCCCAATTCCTTGGGACCCTGTACCCGGTAGGAGATCCAGAGGAAGCTCCTGGCTTCAGATAGGCTCAGCTCTGGTCATTGTGGCCATTTGGAGAGTAAACCAGCAGAGATCTTTGTCTCTCCTTTCTGTAAATCTGTCTTTGAAATACATAAATCTTTTTTCTCTCTCTCTCTCACACACACACAGCCTTAATTTTATCTGAAAAGGGAGAATCCACTGGTTCACTCCCCAAATGCTCACAGCTAGGCCTGGGCCAAGCCAAATCAGCAGCCAGGAATTTGGTCGCAGTACCCCATGTAGATGGCAAGAACCCAACTACTTGAGCCAGCGCCTGCCGCATTAACAGGAAGCTGGAGCTGGAAGTGGCATGAGGGCTCAACACAGATGTTGAGATACCGGATGCAGGCACATGCCTCCTGGCCAGAGGGCTACTTCCATGTGTCCTTGCACACCTTATGTGGTGCCATGAAGGAACAGAGCAACATGGCCAGCTCAGGCTGCCCACCACCACCCTTACCTGGTCTGCGGAATTCCAGGTATTAGCATTCAAGCACGTGCTCATGTGACTGCCTGTTAGGATGTGTAGACAGGGCTGACTCCCCCGGGATGTTGTAATGCCTTTGGCACTTTGTCACTGTCCCCGTGCCCAGCTTGTCGAAAGAGGCCACAGCTCCAGGCAGGGTTCCTGTCATTCCTCTGAACCAGGACCCATGGCTCCTGAGACCAGGTGACATTCTGTACTCATTGCTGAGCTGTTCTGATGCTGGCCTGGTCTGAGGCAAGATCATACAGCATCTTAAGTTTATATTCGGGGCAAGTTTCTGCAACTGTCAAGGCACAACAATTCTTTGTGCTGTTAGCATCCACAGTAGTCTCTGGAAAATCATGGGTTGATACTTAAAAAATGCTCTTGGAAAAAAAATGGAATTATAAGTATTGAATGGGAATTTCTGGGTTGCAAATTTTCCCCCAACAATAACACGGCAAATGTTTACTATGAAACAACTGTGCATGGGTTTCAAAATCTTCTGCAGCAAAATGCATGCTCTCCAGTCCATTTTCCCCCACCAGCTTTGTGCAGGATCCCCCAGAGCTAACAGATTCAGCAGCGTTAACTATCTAACAGATATGCCCAGCATGCATGCGGTAGGTGGCACATGAGACAGGGAGGGGAAGTGGGACAGCATGGCTGGAACTGAGCCAGGATGAAGGGGGTGCAGCTTCTGGAAGGCTGGGTGGGGACAGGGGAGGGTGGGGATGGCTCTCAGTCCTTCATGAGTGGACACCCCAGTATCTGCCCCCGCAGCCCACTAAGAACGAGACCAATGTTATTTTAAATCCTTTACTCTTCTCTAAAGTACATCTCCTTCAAATCACAGAATAGTTCAATACATTTTTGTGTTTTTTTAAGCATAACTTACACTCAGACTCACTTAAGGCCTTTTCTTTCCTTCTAATTTTACAGGCTGGACAGTGCTCACACTGTCAAGAGACAAAACCACCCCTCAGCTAATGTCATGGTTGTCCAGGGCTTCTGATCTGCCAGAGTACCTGGCAGTCCTAGGGCAAAGGCTGACACCACCAGTAAAGCCCACTGCGGGTGTGTACTCTGAAACACCCCACATTGGAAACACTGCGCGTGGTTAGGTTCTTGTCCCTTATCTACTGAAAGCAAAGTTGGAAAACCCAGGAGTAATTAAGTATACAGAAACTGTCATATAAAATTTCCATATAAAAATAATAGTACTTATTTATAAAGTTTGAAATTCTACAAAATAATGTGACACATTGATTAGGAACTGCAAGACGCCAGGCAAGTCCAACAGGCTCTTCGTACCTTCTTCCCACATGGCTTACAACACTCAGTACCGACCTGCAGAACAAGCAGAATTGTATTTCTGGAAATAAAACCTCAATGTACAGAGTCAGGACAGAGTGTCTTTAAACAAAAATATGAGTGAACTGATGGGCTCAAAGATGGTCCTTCTGTGTCCGGAGGGCAAGGAAGGTGATAGGGGGACTGGGAGGAGGTCAGACATGTGGCCCCTGGGGGCAGCCAGTCACTGGGTGATCAGCAGGCAGCTATTATTCATGGCACTGAGAGATGGACATGACTGGAAGAAGAGAACTCTGTGGGCTCACAGAAGCTTCCAATCCACAACAGGCTATGCCAAGCCCTGGCTGGCACAGGAGGAGTGTGACTAGGCTGTTAGTGATGATGGCCGGTGTGAGCAGGAGGTATGCCTGCAGTGTGCAGAGGGCCACCACCTAGCAACACACGACAGTAGGCATTTCACGGGCTGGGTTAACAGTCAGGCTGGCCCCAAGGGGTCAACTGGTCACTCAGCCTCTGAGGCCCCCACTGACCAGCCGGCAGGAAGTGGTTCTTGGGGGTAGAGGTATGGGATTCCCTCCACAGAGGGGAAACCTGCCTCGGGACTTAAGTCTCAGGCCACTATTTACACCACAGCCTGGGCATGGGAGAGGAGTCCCAATTCCACTCCTCAGTGGTGTTGACTCTGGTGGGCGAGGGGGGAGGGTTGAGAAACATGGCCTTCCCCAGGGGACATAGCCCTGGGCCCTACACTTGAATGAATGTGGGCGGGCGTGGGGTGGGTACAAGTCTGTTTTGGCTATGCTGGCCTCCAAGGAGGCCATAGTCAGGGAGGACCAAAGCCCAATGCCCTGGAGCTGCAAAGGGAGGACGGCACTGAATGCAGCACAGGAAGCCACTTTGTGTGAGATAAGATGCATGGCAATATGCCATGTCATCTTCCATTTGAATGTGGCGAGGAACACTGTACATTACTTAAGTCTTCACCCAGTTGGGGACCCAGAGACACGGCCACAATAGGGGAGATTAGCGTCTACCATTTCTCCCTTAGCATATATACCGGGAAGTTGGATCTCCAAGATGGTTAAGGGGGCTGTTTTCCTGAGCAAAGCGGTAGCTGGGATGGACATTCATTTTTTCTCAAAGGTAAAACCTTGAGCAACACCCACCCACACAGGGTGCCCTTGTGTGGGTCAGCATTTGGCTTGAGTGCAAGCATGGGGAATACTGTGGTGCTGGGAGATGTATTTTTGAGCGTCACTGCCCATGTGGTCAGGCTCCTGGATAGCACTGTGGGTTTGAAAAGGTTCACCTTCACAGTCCTCAGTACCTGGGGTGCAGTGGTGCAGAATGCTAGAACTACTTGGGTAGCTGTTTCCTTAGCTTCACTCAAGCTAGCTCAAATGTTGACTATCTTTGACTAGAGCCAAACCGGACCCTTAGCCAGGAACCTAGAAGTTAAATAAAAACACCATTCACAGCTTACAGTATTGCTGTGTAAGCTTGACAAGGCAATGAAATGAACCATGAGAACTGACAGGGTTTATTGGAGTCTTGCTAGTAACCAAGCTTGGTGTTTTCAAATCTTCAAAACTCTTTAACAGACTTCAAAATCAACACCTGCCCCTGCAACAGTGGGCTCCAGGGACTTGGCAGCAATTTCCGGCACAATTATAAGGGACAGACTGGCCTTTTTAGACTGTCTTTGCACCAAGCCAAGACCCAAGGTCATAGGACCTTCACAGACCAAAGCAGCTTTGCCCCATGCCCCTTCACACTGGCAATTCCCACAACTTGGGGCAACCGAAATGCCATTGCAGAGCACCTGTTTCTCCAGGTGAGTTGGACAAGGGCGCGCCCCTCACTGTTCTACCCAATGCACAGCCCCAGCCCTGGCAGGCTTCATAGCACTCACTCAGGCAGGCGGTGTTTGCACCTGTGGTGCACACCCTGCCTACTCAATGCTCTCTGGGAAGGCAGCCCAGATCTACGGTCTGTGTCACAGACTTGTTGCACATGGACAGGCTGTTTTGCCAGGAAGGGAGGGAGTCAGGTATTTAAAGGGCCCCTGAAAACGCAGACAGGTCCCTCTAGTCACGTGTGGTCAGGACAGGCAGTGGTACCACAAGGGCGCTGGGCAGGCAGGAGGCCGAGTGGGTGGTTTGGAAAGCACAGGGATCTGGATGTGCTGCTGACCGTAGCTTCGTCCAAGGCAAGGACCATGAGCCCTGGGAGCTGATACCAGCACGGATCCGCCTCTCTAAACCTTCCCTGGGGTTTGCACCAGGTGGGGTTTCCTTGCTGGCAGCCCCCTCATAACCCTAAGGGTGGAGGTGCAGTGTGTGAGCACTTGCACGGGGGGTGGAACCCCTGAGCTGCAAGCTTCTGGTGGCCCTGACCAGATGCCCATGCTGGGTGCCATGCTGCTGCACTTCAGCAGCTGAGCTAATTGACAGAGACAGAGGGTACCCCCTGAGAACCCCAGTAAGAGCTCTGCCAGTGCTGTGTGCGCGCGCCCATGTGGTAGTATCATTACAGCTATTGCCCCAAGGGCCTCACAGTTCAGAAACAGGGTCACAGCTCAATGTTTCATGGCCAGGAAAAGGACAAACGACACTGTGGCTCTTGGACCCCGGTAAGCATGGGGATGGGAAAGCCTGCGGTTAGTGGCATCGTGCTGGGCTAGAACGCAGCAGTCAGAAGCAGTCGGTTGCCAGGCGGCCCAGTGCTGCAGATGGTGCTGGGGTAGGCTGGAAATCCCAGCCTAGACGGGCCACTGACTGCAGCTGCCCTCCTCCAGGCTGCGCATGGACACTGAGTCTGCACTAAGCCTCCTTTCCACCAGAATGAAATTTTGTCTCCAGCGTGCCAGTTAAGTGTACACAGCCTCAATACAGAACATTACCAGCTCCCACCTGCACATCCCTGGGGGTACAATGGCAGAACTCCAGAAAGATACAGCAGGGGTAGAGTCTACGCTCACCCCTGGCTTTCAGGCAAGAGCCCATCTGCGTCAAGCTTGGTGCTGGGCCCATGTACACACCCACACCATCTCCAGGAAATCCCTGACTCCAGTTCAAGTCTGAGAGGTCATCTTCCCACCATCGGCTGCCCCTTCCCAAGGCATTCACATGAAGTCGTGTCTGCACCAGGACCTGGCAGCAGCCTTCCCCACATCCCTCTGCTAGGCCGAGCAGGGAGCCAGGAGCACAGCAACACCAGTACCCCTTGGTGTCTTTGGCTAACAGCACACTTTGCCTCACTCACACTACCTCCCTGCCAGTGCCCCAGAGGGCTCAGCATTATTCGCCCAAACACCAGGTGGCTTCCCAATGCAATTTAACCAGGACTGAATCTAGTAAGAGCACTGCGATGAATGACATGGGGGGGGGGCTAGGGGGAGAAAGTCACATGTACAAGAAAACATGGCTGTTCATATTCTTGAAATTGACTTTAAGACAAAGGTAATGACATTTTGTTCATTCTCACAAACTGCACACTGGCTGAAACCTCACAGTTACTGCAGGGGACCACAGGCAAGCGATCCGCTCATGGATGTGTTTCTTTAGTTTTGTCTTAAATGAAGCGTTTGTAGGAGCGGAACAGCTCTGACTGAAAACCACAGAGAGGGCTTCTCGCCCCGGCAAACTCTGGCTTCAGAATGCTGGCAGAAGGCAGTCTGGCAGTATGTAATACACATGGAGATTCTAGTCCTATTTTGGCTGCAGAAGTAGCCCTAGTTCAACTCTATGCACCAACGCATTGGCTAATCATGGTCAATTGCTCCCACTATAAATTATGCTAAATGTCACGTAAGTACTGAAGCAGCAGCACGCACTCCGTTCTAGAAGCTGTTCTAAGGCTGCAGAGGTGTGAAGCACCTCAACAAGATTCTCCCCAGCCCAGCAGTCAAACCTGTGTGCCTGAGGCCACGGGGACTGTTGTCTGCACCCCAGCCGGAACCACCCCCAGCCCTTCTGCTGTGGGTGGGTCATGGAGAAAGAAGCAAAAAAAAAAAAAAAAAAAAAGAGGTGGCAGCAATGGCTCCCAGGAGCAGCTCAGCTCGGAGAATGATTCCCAAGGCCAGGAGTCGGAGAGGGGGCATAAAAAAGTCCCTCCCTGAAGTCAGGTGCTCACTACACCAGCCAGTTCTGCAGGGTCTGCCCCTGCATGGGTGGCCTGCCTGTGCCGACAGTCATCGCTTTGGGCTGTGGGTTGCAGACCTAGCCGTCAGTCACGCTGTTCCATCATCCTGGCCTTGGTGTGATTCACTTATGGTGTTTCTTGAGTTGTAGCCGCACACACGGTGCAAACAAAGGCAAAGGCTGAAGCAATCATCTTAAAAAATAGGAGCTCACACTGAAAACACACACAGGAGCGTCGCAGGTCAAAGCCCAGGCTCTTCTGCCTTTATTCAGGTGAGGAGGAGTCTTCCTCGTCGTCTTCATCATCATCATCATTGAATGAGCAGGGGGTCTCCCCTCGGGACTCGGAGCAGTGAGAGGCAGCGCTGTTGGACTGGTGACTGTGGGGGCCCAGCAGCTGCCCAGTTGCCAAGGCCACTTCGGCGTCCAAGCACAAGACCTGGCTCACACTGGCAAATAATCAGAAACACACATGTTTATGAAGGGTGTGTGTGTATGGTGGGGAGGAGGGTAGGCAGGGGTGGTGCCATACAGGAAGGGGATGGCACCTGCAAGGGCTGCCACGGGGAAGCCTTCTTGGGGTGGACTGTCATAACTGTAACAAAATGCTTACCTTGACTGTGGTAAGGTGGCCCCAGGGGTCAGGTCTAGAGTGGACACAGACTGGGTGGAGTTCAGCAGCAGTCCCTGATTTACCCAAGAAGGGCCTGTGGAGATGTCTGAGGGAAGAACAGAAGAATATGAGGGTGCTGGAGTAACCATGATGGGGAGAGGAGCAGGGGGAGGGCCTTCTGAATGTCAGGGACCATCCCGCCCCGCTCAAAAGAACCTCATCCCTCTGCAAGGATAAAAAAAAAATGTCCCAAACAAAACAGGAATAATGGGATAGGAGGGCAGCTATCACTGGGAAAGAGAATTTGGATGGAAATCATGACAGACAGGGCCTCCAATGAGCAGTGCCAGGGACGCCCTGGTCCCTCTGCAGGCCTCACTCATTAAGCAAATGCCCAGACCGTGACACTAATGGCTGCTGCGGCCAAAGGGAAAAACCCAACTCCTCCGAAGCCCCTTGGGTGGGGAGGACCCCTGCCGGGGCTGGGGGCACCCCCAGGGCCTTTGGAGAAGCGCTGCTATGCTGAGTCATCACGGATCTATTCTCCCAGCAAGCTTTCTCCTAGTGTTCTCCTGCTTTATAATGCAGGCAAGTTCTTATTGAAAAGGTCATGTTTTTCATCAGGGAGCTTTTCAGTACAGTCATATTTTTAATGAGGGTGACACAAACATGAGGCTTTTGTCTACAGCAAACATACTAAGTGTATCCTTACAATCCTATTTCCTACAGAAATTGTTCTTTTCCTACCGATCTATTTCTACTGTAATTTTCCTTAGTATTTACTTCCCAATCTATAGGATCAGCTTCAAGAAGGCAGTAGCTGGAACACAGCAGATCTGAAGTAGCCCTAGTTCTTGAATTCAAGAGTTTCTAGAAACAGTGACATTCAGAAATACGTAAAAAACCTTTAGTGAACGTAATTATGAGGTCAAGCAATATTATGAAAAATGTAATTTTCCCAAGTAACATTTTATTGCTCTTGATTTAAATATTTTTGTGATTACTGTACCAAAAGAAATGATACTCTGAGGCCATCCCCATATGGGTAAAGATCAGACTTGGTGACTTCAGGAATTTTAGTGTCACCTTTGAACCTTTCTCTTCATAGTCGAAGGCAACTGGGGTGGGGAGAGTAGTTAAAAAAGCCTTCCATTAAAAGAGGAGGAGCAGATTTGAAGCACTTAAAAAATAACAAGCCTACACAAGAAGATGAAATTACAAGAGAGCTTGGTGCTGAATATTAATTCGTAACTCTGGAATCTTCCTGGCAGAGCACTGTTATTCACTTGTGTGTGATCACAACACATTCCCTTTTCTTCTTACAATGGACATGAAAGGGCCCCACACTTCTTAAGAGCCACACAATCGCTCTCACATTCCTGCCCCAGTCATTCTGCCTCTCTGACAGAGAGCGCATGCTTCTGGCTTTGACGGACCCAGGAGCTCTGTGTCCCAGGCGAGGTCATGTGGAGATCAAACCACAGGGCCTGTGCCGAACCTTTTCACTGGGAATCAGCTCAAGTAAACTGCTAGTGATTTACTGAGTCAGCCCTTTTCTTCAGATTCCGCTGGACTTCCACACCAGCTGGGCTGCCGGGACCCAGCAGGCCCCATGCCAGGGAGCGTGGGGAGAAGGAGTGAGGTGGTGCCAGGTTGGCTAAGGGGCAAGGCAGGACACGGGTCACATTTGCAGGAGGTTTGCAGCACCAATTTCAGAATGAAATCAGAGACTCTGGTCTCTGATTAACAAACTCTGATGTGCTAAACGAAGGGCCAAAGCCACTGGACAAAATAAAAACCACCTTCCTGCTCACAGTTCATATAACTTACAACTAATAGATATTTTAAAGAAGTGATGTAAAACTCTAGGTGGTAATGCTTACCTATGAAGAAGGAAATAGGAGGAAACAAATGCAAAAAAATGTTTAATAAGCTCTAATTATATTTGTAAAATAATATTGTCAGGAACTAGGACAGTTATGAAGATACCTGATTTAATGAAAAGTATCTGGGTAACAGAATACCCAAACACAGTGTTTCTACTTTCAACCTTTTTCATACTTCTACAAAGTAACTCCAAAAGAGGATGCTGATCTGAACAGACAGATCTCCAAAGACATTCCACTGGACACCAAACACAGGAGAAGATGCTCCGCACCCTATGTCAGCAGGCCAAGGCCAATCAAAGCGTAGCAAGATACATCATGTCCACCAGGATGCTCAAAGAGACACGCCAAGGAACTGCTGGAAAGTATAGGAAGAAACTGGAACCTCCAAATAATGCTTGCAGGATTATAAAATGGAAAACAGTAAGACATTTTCCAGGCATATGCCCACAGAACTGAAAATTGTTCACACAAATACGTCTGCAGCAACATCACTCAAACTAACCCAGACTGGGAACAATCCCAATGTCTGCCAGCTGATGAATGAGTGTATAAACAAACTGTGGGTCCTACACCCAATGGAATGCTATTTGGCAATGTAAAAAAAAAAAAAAAAAACGAAGACTTGACTGATAGCTGATGCAGCAAGAATGAATCTTGAAAACACCCAAGTGAATGCAGCCAACCATCCAGAGAAGACCAGACTGTATGACTGCACCACATGAAATCCACAACGGTAGAAAACACAGCACTGGCTGCCAAGGGGTGACTGCTTCCCGCTGGGGGCATCTCTGGAGAGCGACACCATTCTAGAATAAGACAATGGTGCTGGTTGCATAACCTGAAAACAGTCCTGGGGTGTACACTTTAAAATGGTGTATTTTATACGTTGTGAATTAAATCTACTTAACAAAAATGGCAGTGATATAACTTCAGATCTACCTGTGAAGATACAATACTTTCTGAAGGTATAACCTGGTAAAATATCAAAGTGAAATTCTAATATTGTTCAGCCAAGCTGAAGATGCACCCAACAATTTCAACTTACACATTTGCACATGGGCGGGCACCAGAATACGCACACAGGAATATTCAAAACAGCAAGTTTTAGATTAACCTTAAGAAATTACCACCAAATGAAAGGTTTGCTTTCAATAACATGAACATGTAAACTGTGCTTTTATTCATACATGATAGTATTATATGCAAGTAAAACTGTGAATTGCAGCTACATGGAATTATTTGGATGGATCTTATTTAAAGAACATCATGTTGGGTGAAGCAATCAAATCCCCAAAGAATGTATCTATGACTCCATTCATATAAAGGTAAGGAGCAGGCAAAACCTAGTAACAAACTGTTTTCAATTTTCCAATGTGTATTTCTTAAAGAAAAGCACACAGCGTTGTACACAAATATGAATTCATATTCACCTTGTTCTGTCCTGCTTTTCTGACACTGAAACTTTACCATGTTGCTCTGGAGGTGTGCAGAGGACACTAAGACTTTTTAAAAACTCCTTCATCAGGCATTTACAAAACACGCTTCTCTAACCAGGCTCAAGGTTAGCAACTGAGAATAACAGATAAAGATATCTGCAGAGAGCCAAATTTAGTAATGAGTCAGCCAATTTAGATTTACAGAACACACGTTCTATGAGTACAGGTGGACGTTCCCAAAGCTATGAAAACAATCTATTTATTTGAGTTTTGGGGGTGGGAGGGGCACAGTAAAATCCTAAATGTATTACCTAAGCTGTTAAAGGTTTCTCTTGGGTGACCCAAGAACAATCTTCTAGAACACTAGTTTTCTAAGGGGGGGGGGGGTCAGGTTTAAGTAGCCATGGCTTTGCAATGAGGGAGCAGGTGTGCAAACCTCAGGCTGACTTACCTGTGACATAGCCTTCTAGAGCCTTCGGCACCAGAGATTTTGCAAGTTTCAGGTCCTCCAGGGAGCATTTGCCGGACTCCAGGCCGAAGGACATGCCCATCCGCTTCAGCACTTCTATGTCATCGTGAATCTCAAAGGTGTTGTCAAAATTAAAGAGGTATTCAAACCTACACAGGGAACACAGGTGGTGACTGGGCTGCTGCTGCTGCTCTTTCAGGGCTGAGCGGTTCTGGAACCGCTACTTTGTAAACAAGACAATGAGGGCCTGCAGTTCAGCTACAGGGTCAAAAACTGTTAGCCTTTGGGGACAGTGAGTCATTGTGCTGCGTGTTCTTAGCAACCACTTCCCAGTTAAAATAACTTGCCTGAGACACAAACTTTATAGTCCTAAAGCTGTTGCAGGCAGGGGATGAAATTTGTTCCAAATGTAGTACTTTTCAAAGTGATCCACAGCTTTGCCACAACAGTCCTTTTATGTTAACAAATGATATTTAGACTGTGAGTTGGCTTGTTAGTTTTGAGGAAAAAAAAATTTTTTTTAATGTTTATACCATTTTCAAAAGTCAAGTGTTAGGCAGAGCACCTTCTAGCATTTTATGTATCTATTTATCTATGACAAGGGGCAAGAAAGAGAATGCTCACACCCACTGGTTTGCCCCCAACAGTACCTAAAAGTGGCTGCAGTGGGCAGGGACCCAACTCCTTCAGCCTTGACCTGCTGCTGCTCAGCGCCTGCATAAGCAAGGTGCTGCCATGAGCAGTCGGGGCCAGGAGCCAAATTCCCGTGCTTTCACAGGCAGTGTTCTTACAGGCACTCAATCCCAGGGTGCTCAGCATACCTCCTCAACCCAGCGGGGACTGCAGGAGAGGCAGTGTCAGCTCCAGCAGTCCTTGTCCACCTGTACCCACAGGGAAGGGAACCAGTGGAAGGAAGATCTCATTTCTCTCTCTCTCAAACTTGCCTTTCAAATAAATAAGTTTTAAGGAGAAAAAAAAAAACCTGAAAAATCAGCCTCCTACAGATTTGTTTAATTTTGAGTCTCACCTGTAGCTGCCTTGAAAAAAAGAGGCCAGGCCGAATTATTTCCCAGGCCTTATGTGGCCAATGGGCCACATCCAGCCAGGAGTGACTACGGTGCTGCAGATTAGTGGGAAAAGCCTGGGGGATGCTGCAGCTCCCAGGCAGCCACAGTACTGGGTGCCCTGAAATAGCCATGGCGCCCACCCATACCTCAGATGCAGAGGCTGCCCTTTTCATTCTAGAAGGATCCCAGCCTGGAAGACCAATTGCTTGCCAGCCTCTTGTAGCAGCAGCTCACATTCAGGCAGACCCTTTCTAGGCACAGTCAAGTTCAGCCACACAGCCTGGCCAGATGGAACAGACGCTCTGCTATTCCTTCTCTGCGTTCTTGAGAGCAGGGCTTTGGAGCAGGAAGCATGGGAGGCCCCAGTCACACGTGGGTCTAGGCATGCCTTTACCTCTCTCCTGGAACAGGGCGTAGCCTGAGTCTTTCCATGAGGAGCAAAATAAATGACAGATAAAATCTGCATTTTGAAAAGTCCTTCTTCATACTTGCTATGAGGAGTGTTAATATCATACTGATCTTAGAAGGGGGCTAGCACAATGCCTTAGCAAGCTAATCTTCTACCTGCAAGTACTGGCATCCCATATGGGCGCTGGTTCGAGTCCTGGCTGCTCCACTTCCAAAGCAGAAGAAGATGGCCAAAAAGTCTTGGGCCCCTGCACCCACATGGGAAAAGAGGCTTTGGATTGGTTCAGCTTTCACTGTTGGGGCCACTGGGGAATGAACCAGTGGACAGAAGAGCTCTCTGCCTCTCTCTGTAAATCTGCCTTTCCAGTAAAAATAAAGAAGTATATTTTAAAAAGTACAAAACAAAACCTAAAGCTAGAAAGAAAGAAAGAAAGAAAGAAAGAAAGAAAGAAAGAAAGAAAGAAAGAAAGAAAGAAAAAGAAAGAAAGAAAGAAAAAGAAAGAAAGGAAGAAAGAAAGAAAGAAAAAGAAAAGAAGGAAGGAAGGAACAGAGCACGCCCAAGTCCATTCATTCATAAACAGAAACACACAGTGATATGACAAAGAACAAAAACAGCTGTTTGAATGCCACAAGCTGATCTAAGACATGTCCATTGTGAACAACCCTGGAAAATCAGCATGAGATAAACCTGAACGTACCTTGCTGCAGTGCCTCAGCAGTGCTCCAATCCACTGCACAAAGTTCACCATAGCTTAGACCCAAGCCTGGCCAGGACAGGGGACTGTGGGGAGTGAGCAACGGCTCAGCCTCCAGGAAGAGGGTCCCTGTGCTGGAGGAGGTGATCCACACATGCCCCAGACAAAGCAGCAGCGAGGGCTGCAGCTGGTGCCCTTCTGGGCACATGCGCGAGAGCATGCTCAGAGCAGGCCAGCCCTGCACATTCACACCCCGTGCCCTCTGCTCACTTGTCACTGGAGATGCTGCAGTCTATGACGGTCTTCCGGCTTGTGTTGATGATTATGAATGGCAGCTGAATGGTGGAATTTTGAGCCGGAGGGCCCTGGTTCTGTTGTTCGTTGCGCCGATTTCTTTGCACCAGGTTTTTGAAAGCGATTTGCTGTCATGATCAATGAGAGAGAGTACTGTAAAGTACTGTGGATGAAGGAGGCAGATTTTAAATGCATCTTAGGAAGCACAATGAATGGGGCTCACACTGTGGCATTGCGTGTAAAGCTGCCACCTGTGGCACCAGCACACTGCTTTGCTGGCTATCCCACATGTACAGTCCCTGGCTCAGTGGCTGCCACCCCCTGCTCAGGCCTTCCTTCCTTCCCACTCTCACATCATGCATTGATCTTCGGCATGGCTGTCTTCTACCTTTCTCACGGGAAAATGAGTAAGATGTAACAAAGCAAAACAAAACCTCAAATGGACAAATTCAGAAAGTGAAAAATACTTAGAATATTGAAGACCATAACACACCACAATCAACACATAAAGTGAGAAAAACTTTGGCAATGATATTTGGTAACTTGTTACTAATTTTTAAAAAGATTTGTTAACTATTTTTATTGGAAAAGCAGTTGTACAGAGAGAAGGAGACGCAGATCTTCTATCCGCTGATTCACTCCCCAAGTACCCATGATGGCTGCAGCTGAGCCAATCTGAAGCCAGGAGCCCAGAGTTTCTACCAGGTCTCCCACATGGACACAGGGTCCCAAAGCTTTGGGCCATCCTCGAATGCTTTCCCAAGCCACAGACAGGCAGCTGGATGGGAGGTAGAGCAGCCAGGATACAAACTGTTGCCATATGGGATCTCAGAACATTCAAGGCAAGGACTTTCAGCCACTAGGCTACCACACTGGGCTCTCTATTACTCTTTTAAGATTCATCCAAATTCCAGGCAGTCATCCAAGAAGCAGAAGTACAGGGATCCCATTAGTTGACAGACTTTCCTTAGACAACATGACATTTTAAGTTTTGTTATTTCTATAAATCTTTATGAATTCCAAGTATTACAAGTGGATTTGATTATTCTACTTTTGAAAGCCCATAAAATTCAACCACCCTTGCTTTCTGATATTCTAAACCAGGGCTAAGATAAACACAAAAATACCTCTCACAGTTTCTGTTGTAAGTAAGGGGTGCAGTGTTGCTCACAGAGCCACACACAGGGCAAGGGAGCCACGGGACCCCCTAAAGGCACAGCCTGGGCCCCCTCCCGACACTATCATAAATACCCCATTTAGGGAACACATTCACTCTCAAGGCAAGCGGAAGACCGGCAGGGACAGACAGGACCCTGGCACGCTTACCTGGAGGAGCAGCTCTTGCAGCTGGGCCCGCTTCTGCTTGATCCGCTCTATTCGCCTCTGCTTCTCTATCTGCACAGGGCAAAGAACAACACAGACATGCGGGCATTGTAAAGCACGGTTCACTTGTCCTGTCTCTCTTCTGAGACGGCAGGGATTTCCATTAGAGAAATGCAACCTTTTCCTTTTTGGGGAAACACGGATTTGGGGTGAAAAAGCAGGCAGCACAGAATTAAGGCCACCGTCACCAGATATGAAATTCAACCATTTCATGAGCACTTGCCGTTATTACAAGTTCCAATCAAAGAACTCCAATTTAGCTTTTATCTCCTCTGCCGTTAGCACATCACTAAGCATTTCACACACATTAACTCATTTGCACAAAGACCTCTAGGTTGGTTCTGATCCATTCCACATATGAAGGACTGAGCAGCTGCCCAAGCTCCCACAGCTCAGGCCCAGCATCAGCCACCTTGTTCCAGAGAATCCCTACTGATGTTTGGCTACCTCACGGCTTCCAGGATGAGGCCAGGCCTCATGGAAGATGACAGGCGGCCACCCGCACACAGCTGCTAACAGCCAGCATTATCTACTCTATCGAAAGCCTGTGCTGCAGAAAGAAACCTGTTCAACAGACGGATTTCCCAGCTGTAAACAATGGCTATTTTCCTCTCCATTTGATAATTACAACAGATCTGAGGGCCTGATTCTCCTAAACGTCAAGTTTTTCCCTTGAGCAAAACTCAATGGCATGGGTTCAGTAAAATCTATAGGAGGCCTTTGGCTTAGAGTGAGCTCCGGAACTGGGCAAGAGACCATGTCACAGTAGAGTCACTGGTGGTGACATTTCACATGACAGCTAGAACCCAAGCCCAGGATGCGACCCTCCAGGAAATCAGGAGAGAGGTGACAGCTGAGTCTCCACCCAGACCCAGTAAGAGAGGCCCCTGGGTTGCAGCTCTTACAAGGGGAAGTCATTTGAAGTGACCGGCCCTCTTTGCGCTTTCACTTCCTCACGTGTTTCTTGAGCCTTGTTCTGCCCAGCCAGTGACACAGCTCTTCTGCGTGACAGAATGGGGTGTTGCCCAGGTCTAGAATTCCTCCTCCCTGAAAACCCAGTTAAAAGCTGAACTAAATCTGTTCTGTCTTTGGAGGTATCAAATGACATACCTTTTCTTGGACCTACCCCACCCTGATGATTTTTTATTTTGTTCCCAGGTCTTTTGGGGAATTTCTGTTCATGGTGCCACTAACCACTTCCACGCCAGCTATTTCAGCACTGCATTAACACCTGAGGTCTTCTATACTTGGAAAGTGGTGGAGAGTTCCTCCAGGCCATGTTGTACCCACTCCACCTTTCACCTCACTGTCTCCTCCTTAACTCAGATTGTCCCCATTCTCCTACCTGTCCTTTTCTTTCCCAGCAAAACATGTCCCATCAGCCTTGCTCTCTGTACTTTATCCACAGCTTCCCAACATTTCTAGCGTCAGAAACCACCGAAATTGAACCTCTCTCCCTGCCCATTCTCCCCTAGAGACAGCACTGAGCAGGTGTCAGAGGGCTCGTGCTAGCCCACCCAGGGCCTGTGGCTGCCCAGCCACACCTGAACTCATACCTCTCCTTTGTGATGGGCTTGGGGAGGACTCTCCTGCAGAGCACCCCTTGAACCCAGCCCCACAGCCCCCCTCCCAGAGCATCTGGGCCCACTTCCTTCCTGGAGTAGCTGCCTTTCCCCCCACCCCTTCAGCCACAGGCAAAAGAAACATCTGGAGGGTGTCCCCTGTGACTGAGCTCAGAGCAGATGGGGTGGACACTAACCCATCTTTGCTAAGTTTATCAGCAAATTGAAAACAGTGTTCAAAATCTACTACATCAGGAGGAATAAAAACAAGAATATGAATAACATTAGCTCACTACTTTTGATGAAAAAGTCTGGTTCGTGCCTCCAAGCCACAAGTGACAAGTTGATTTTTTGCTTTCTTGGAGTGAAAAGGGAATGAGAAAAACAAATCAACTGACCTCAATTAGCTCTAAAAGCTGTGTTTCACTTTAGTGTACTCTACCCATGATCATAAACTCATTGAGAAAAACCATGCTAGGGAACGTGCTCACTTAGGGATGAATTTCTACAGAGCGCACAATTCACAGAACTAAGAATATTTTGTACTTCTTACTCCAAAATTAATGGGAGTTGAACACTCTATTTTATTGTAAAGACACAAATGAAATACCATTCTGTTGATACTAACTCTAGCACCCACAGCAAAAGGCTTTCAGAGCTACCGAACATAAGAAATAAACACGTAGCTTGATCCTTCTCTTCTGAGCCATGCAGCAAATAGTTCCTAAGATGTAATTTTTACAGCATGGTTCATCAAATATGTACCAGTAGAGGACCCAGAATTAACATGAAATCAAATTCTCGAAGAAACAGTAAAAACCATGTTAAGTCATTTAACTTTTCTATCACTCCATTTCATCACTTACAAAACGAACCCCATAAAGCACTGCTGCTGTTCCTTCGATTTTAAAATTCTACAATGAGAGTGTGTCAGAAAAACAATGTAATACCCAAGAATAAATTAAAGCGCCTCCAGTGAAAACCAGCACGGATGGCCACCCCATGGCCCCTGCTCACCTCCAGATTCTGACACTCCTGGGCAGAGTTGGTGGGCAGGCCAAGCCACTTGATTTCTTTTTTTTCTTTTGAAATGATGTTCATTGCCATTAATACATTTAAAGCATCGTACACTCTTCGCCTGATGTTTTTCTGATCATAAGCCTGCTAAAAGACATTCTCCTTGAGTGATCAATGATGAAGGCTAAGATCCAGTCACACAACATCAGTCAGTATATTCAGTTAAGAATATTCTGGTATCTCCACAGTGCTGAAAGAGCTCAAACCTAAGGAGCATGTAACTGGCAGATCTGCGTTAAGAAAAAAAAATTACAGGGATTTCTTTCAATAGAAGAAAGACCCTGAAGATGGAAAGTTGGTGGAGCAGAACAAAGACCACCTGGCAATGTTAAGCATGAAGGTCAATCTTAACTGTTACTGCAGAAACCAGAGCGAGGCAAGGTGGCAGCAACACTGGGCCTGCGAGTAAAGATCGCTAGCAATTCCCAACTGTTGGAAGAATTCCAGTGAGGCTAGGAAGGAGGAAAGAAGGCATGGTGCATGTGCCTTCTGCTCCAGTTCCCTTCCAGCTCTGTGCTTGTGGTCTGGAAAACAGCAGGATGGTTTAAGACCTTTGGACCCTCCACTCATGTGTGAGACTTGGAAGAAGCTCCTGGCTTCCGATCAGCTCAGTTCTGGTTGTTGTGGCCCCTGGGGAGTGAACTAGCAGATGGAAGGTGTTTCTCTGTCTCTCCTTTGCTCTGTATATCTGCCTTTCCAATAAAGCAAGTCTTCAGAAAAAAGAAAGAAAACTATCTGAGATGGTGCTCCAGAGAGCAGAACTGGCCCATTAACTGCTTATAGCCTGAAAGAATGAGGACTTGCAGGGAAACCAACTGAACGTAGCACCAGGCCTATGCCTTAGTTTAGCTGATCTTTTAAAACTGGTTTCGCTCACAAGATCTTCATAATGAAAAATGGTGCTGATGGATGAAGGTACTTCAAAAAGTCTGTGGAAAACTAGAATTGCAGGGTTAGGTTTATCTCGATGCAAATGCAAATCCCTGCATATGACAGGCCTTTAAAACTTCAGACTGGAGTAAGTGGCAGTTCCTAGGAGATCTCGATTGAGTTCCCAGCCCCTCCCTTCAACTTGGGAGTGAAACAGCAGACAGAAGCTCTCTGTCTCTCAAGCAAGTAAAAACATTCAAAATGAATTCATGGAAGGCCCAGACTTAATCATTACCTTGTAACTGCCGGGATCCCAAATGGGTACCAGTTTGGGTCCCGACTACTCTACTTTCCTTCCAGCTCCCTGTTTATGGACTAGGAAAGCAGTGGAGGACCCAGGGTCTTAGAACTTTGCACCCTTATGCAACAAGGTGGAGGAATCCACCATGGGGGGAGGGGTATGGAAGGGGTGGGGGGGATCCCCAGCGCCTATAAAACTGTACTACATAATATAATGTAAGCAACAATAAAAAAAAAAAAAAAAAAAAAAAAAAAAGAACTTTGCACCCATGTGGGAGACCAGGAGGAGGCTCCTGGCTCTGGATCGGCTCAGCTCCTGCCATTGCAGCCACTTGTAGAGTGAACCAGCGGATGGAGGATCTTTTTGTCTCTGCTTCTCTCTGTATATCTGACTTTCTAATAAAAATATATACTAAACAGAAAATGAAACTCAGCAATAACAAAACAATCTCCCCATATATAGCACGAAACCTTCAAGGTCAAGTTGAGGACAGCTTGCTCATTTGCTCCTCAAATTGAATGACACAGGCAACTCAGAAAAATAAACTGTAGCATCACTCACCATCATCAAGGTCAGGTTCATTATCTACTTACCGAATCAGCTGCCAAATGGTTATTTGAGTTGGTGAACTCTGACACCAGTTCGTCAGCTACCTCATTGTATGACGTTGTACCTTTCCGCTGAACTTTCTCACATACTTTCATAGAAAAATGTCTCAAGCCTTTTCCATTTTTATCTCCTTTTTTGCTCCGTTTACTGGGGAAAAAATTGTATTTTATTAGACTCATTACGTCCTTTACAAAATTCTACAAGGTAATCAAGACAGAAATTGGTCAGAATTTAAATGGAGAGTGAAGTTTTTTTATTTATTTGAAAAGGCAGACAGTAAGAGAGAGGGAATGAGGGAGTGATGGAGGGAAAGAGACCTTCCATTCACTGTTTCTCTCCCCACAAATGCCCGAAACATCCAGTGCTGAGCCAAGCCAAAGCCAGGCACCAGGAATTCCATCATGGTCTCCAACGTAGGTGGCAGGAACTCGAGCACTTGGGCCATCCAGGGAATGCACATTACAGAGGCAAGGGCAGGCCTCGATCTCAGGCACTGTAAGCATTTAAGAATGTGGCCATCCCAAGCGGTGGTACAACCTGCACACCACAATGCCTGTGCTTTGAAACTTGTATTTACTTAACACTTCCCATGGCACTGGGAATGAATCCAAAGAGGAGAGACAACGCACCTGTCCTGACAGAGCTTATGCACTAGGGAATTACTCACCATCTTTTTCAATCTCTATATTGCAGTTCCCCAACCCCCCCACCAAAACTTCAATTATCACTATCTTGTTTTATTCATCTAGTCCATTTTTGATTCTACTCAGTTTTTAATCAGGTGTCATTGGCATTAATATTGTGCTTAAGTCTTTAAGTTTGGCTAACATCTAAGTCTACACGCAGATAATTCAATCACTGAGATCTTCTGGGGGGTTTGGTTTGGTTCGGTTTAGTTCTCATATTAGCTAAGTGCTGACTATCTGCTTCAATATCTGTAACAGAGACCACAACTACAAACACTAATTAAGGTAAAAATCCCTTCACTCAGTATGAGTCCTAGAGGATGATGGAGGGACGAAAGAGACACATCCTGACAGGTAATGCCCTGTTACAGTGATTAAGTTTTCCATGGGAAGTGGGCAGAGAGGAGACCAGCTGAAAGAGTCACAGACAACAACTAGCAGTCAATTGAAGGGATTCAATTCCAGGTCAGGAAGCCCCGTGCCCAACCTACTACTCAGGTCAGGTGAAGAAGCCTCTCCAAGGCAGAAATCAGCAGCCAGTACATGCAGAGGAAACAGAGGCTAAAAATGAAGTGCTTCTATGCCAGTTTTTGTTGAACATTCTGTGCAATGAAGGTCCTCACAGCCAGACCTGAATGGCAGCAACGAACGTGACTTTCATCAGGTTCTGTTAGCACAATCTTATTTAGTGAGAAATCGCTGAGTTTTTACTGTGTTAACAGGTGCATTAAAAAACAATTACTCACATGGACCCACTGGTATGCACGAAACCTGGCACTTGGAGGGGTTCTGATGGAGGAGCCTCCTCTGGCAGGACACAAACCTTGCAGGTCAACACAAGAAGCATGGAAGGCAACAGCCAAGAGGTCATGGAAAGTGTCCCACTGGCATGCATTTGGCATGGTTCGGGGCAGCCCAGGCTGAATCTGTCCATGTCATCTACTGGTAAATCCAAGCACCAGAACAGAGTATGGGTCGAACCAGGTCCGGTTGTGACAAAAGAAATACACAATTTGGAACGCCAAGGTGAGGTAGCCTGAGGCAGATGCAACCGCAACCCACAACCAGCACACGTGAGAATCAGGAAGGGAGGAGGCAGAGCTGGCAGGGGAATAAGGGATGGTTCCCTAGCTGAACAGCAACTTACACTGAGGAGTGTGAGCTGGGTAGGGGGTAGACCAGACCAGGCAGGGACACAGCACCTGCGCACCTCATGTGGACCTGACTGGGTGAAAACCAGGCTGGGCTGACTATTCCCACTGGTGCAGGGCTGTTGGGGCTTGGTCGTAGCATCAGCTGGCAGAAGCTGGTACAGGGGGCTAGTCATGTTGAGTTGAACCACAGGGCCAACTGGAGAGGGCACAACCGGAGTGGGAACAACCTGGGAGGGAAATAGTGGGCTCCTCCCTCTTGGGTCATCACCTTCCACAGGAGGGCATGGGAACTAGGACAGGGGCTGGGGTGGCTAGAAAGACACTCAGCAACATCCGTTAGGGCTGGTAGGATGAGATGGTTAGATGGAATTAGGTCGCAACACCCACTGGCAAGTATATGAGCAGAGGGGAATGTGGGACAGACTAGACTAGTCTGCCATACATACTGGCCAGCCAGGGTAGGGGGTGGGCCTGGTTGGGGTTACTGTGAACCGCCTTGACTGGGTTGCAGCTCCTACTGGTTTTTGTGAGGGCCAAGAGTGTCCAGGGCTGAACCAGGTCAGACTGTAACACCCATTGGTTCCAGTGGAGGACACGGATGGAGACAACCGACCCAGCAACTGCAACCACCAGCTGATTGGGGCGATGGACTGTGCCGGGTCCTATGCTTGCTAAAACACGCAGGAATCTGGACTGGAAATACCTCAAAATTTCTTTGAGGATCTCCCCAGTCAAGACACTGGACTCAGAGTCCTAACCAGGAAAAGAGAACAAGTCAATCAACAACCTCAGCTATCTGTGAGCAGCAAAACGCTGGGCAAATGGAGACTCTAGAAGGGATTGTGTCAATCAATGGATTCTTCAACGACCACACCGTGCTTGGAGTGGCAAGACTGGTAACGATCCATGAATGGTGAACTACTGGAACCACTTGATCGAGTATCTCAGAGCATGCCCCACATCTGAGACTTAGGGTGGGTGGGAAACCGGGTGGGGCTTCTTCCTCTATATCCCCTTTTACCTCAGATACATGAAGGAAGTGGTATGGAAGTGATGGTCTTGCCCACTTCCCTGTAACCCTTGAACCTTTTTATTACCCTAATTAAATATGTAAGGATTGTCATAATAAAAAAATTAAAAAAAACAATTACTCACAGACTGTCCCAAAGGATGAGAGGAGAAAAGGATAACTACCTACTTTCATTTCCAGAAGTCCACTTGCCATATCACCACACTGGCACCAGGGCATCTGGATTTTTGATATAGTGAGGAGAAGAAGGACAGAATCCACGTATATGAAGCTTACTGATTGAATGTCCCCTGCTACATACTCAACAGTCCTGAATAACATTCCTACAGATGTGCTCAAGAAGGCCTGTGTTTGTTGCAGATGCTCTCCCTAATTTCTCTCCATTTCCTAAGAGCTGTACTTTTCTATGATAGAGTACATCCATTTATTCTCTTCTCTCCCTCTTAGTTCTCACATTATAGAAAAAAAAAATAATCAGACTCTACATGCCTGTAAGAGGAAGAACTCATGACTACTTACACACAAGGCAGTCAGCACCCAAAGTCTACCTCTATGTCACCCTGCCCTTGGAGGATGGTGAATTCACACACAAATGGCCAGTGACGCATTAGTTCACAAAATTAGTACAAGTGACAAGGCAAATAAACAGACATTTGTTAAAATGAGAAGTACATTAGTTATTTAAGGAGAAATGGTGTTCTGTAGGGGGTTTTATATTCACGCTAAAAACTGAGAAATGGCTTCAAGTAAACAAATGTCCCAACAAAGTGGTTACATTTTTTTTTTTTAAACCAAAAACAAAGTTCTTGTTTGTCATCTGCTTGTATGTCTGTTTCTCAAAGGCAGCAATAAAATAACTGTAGGGTGGTTTGGGGTAATTATTTGGCTATTGCTCTCTCTTAGTCATCCATGGATAATGTCTAAGGAAAATGCTGAATATATAACAGCTATTACATGCTAATGGTCACACTCGAGGACGGCCCAAAGCCTTGGGACCCTGAACCCATGTGGGAAACTCCGAAAAGGCTCCAGGCTCCTGGCTTTGGATTGGCGCAGCTCCAGCCACTGTAGCTGCTTGGGGAGTGACTCAAAGGATGGAACATCTTCCTCTTTGCCTCTCCTCTTCTCTATGTATCTGACTTTTCAATGAAAATTAATAAAATCTTAAAAAAAAAGTTAGAAACAAAATTAGGGCCAGTGTCAGGGTGCAGTAGGCTAAGATGCCATCAGTGATCAGGCGTCCCATACATTACTTACATCCTGTCTACTCTGATTCTGATCCAATTCCCCAGCGGAGGATCCCGAGTACTTGGGGGTCCCTGGCACCCATATGAGAGACCAGGATGGAGTTCCCAGCTCCTGGCCCTGCCGCTGCGACCATTTGGAGACTAACCCAGTAGAGGGAAGATCAATCTCTCTTTCTATGTCACTCTATCTTCCAAATAAGTATATATGCTTTTTTTTTTTTTAAAGTTTTACAACTAGTTTTCTTTCTCATGAATGGATTATAAACTTGAAGAAAAGGCTTTGAAGAGCAACCTTGGTTAAACTGTACCAACATGACATGCCCAGACATGAGATGCCGTGACAGTTTGAAAGTAGATGAACGTTAAGTTCTTTTCTGGCAGAGAGCGGTATTGTGGCACGGTGACTTAAGCTACCGTAAAGTGGCGTTCCTGGATGCCAGTCAACAGTTTGGACTACACACAAACCACTCACCCTGTTGGGGTAACAGCACTAAGACAGTGCTCAATGTCCAAGTGCTATAAAGGTACCCAAACCTCTACTTGTACACTTACTTCACCATGGAGGGGGGACAAATGGTTCAGACTAACTACAGTTCACAGATCACACTTGTGTGTTACTTTTTAGGTCTGTTCTCTTTCTGTCTCACCTTTTTCTGCAGTTAGGATATCAAATGAAAAAAAAATTAGGGGCTGACAACATGGTATAGTAAGCTAAACCTCCACCGTAAATGGGAACTGGTCCCATTTATGGCCTGGGAAAGCAGCAGAGAACATCCCAAGTCCTCGGGGCCCTGTACCCAGGTGGGAGACCCAGAAGAAGCTCTTGGCTCCTATTGTGGCTATTTGGGGAGTGAACCAGCAGATCTCCCTGTCTCTCCTCTCTGTAAATCTTTCAAATAAAAATAAACCTTTAAAACACATTAATTAAATGTATAAGTTATATTATTAATTTTACTTATATGCATACATAATTTTATTTAAATGTAAAAAGGGATATAAAGCTTGATAGGGTTGACATTACTGCACTAAGAACTGTTCCACAATGATTATGAATTAGCCTAAGACTATTAAAGAGGGGAAGAAAAACACAGGAAGAGCCTCTACAACCTGGGCAAGCAAACTTTCCTTTCCTGCCTTTAAGTAGCCCACTGCCACACTCTAGTTACTTCAAAGACCAACTGTTCAGTTACCTGGCTGCTGTCTTCAATCTCTCCTTGAGGTTTTTTTTAATGTAAGATTTTATTAACACAAACATGTGTTTTAAATGCATCTTCTGGTTATTACTATAAAACCCACTTCAAGGATATCTAACACTGCAAATTTTATCATTACAGCTTTCTTGGTGTTTTAACTTTTATTTCTTTTTTAAAATATTTATTTTTATTGAAAAGGCAGAGAAGGAGAGATAGAGAGAAAGATCTTCCATCCTCTGGTTCATTCCCCAAGTGACCACGTTGGTCAGAGCTGAGCCAATCCAAAGCCAAGAGCCAGGAGCTTCGTTCAGGTTTCCCACGCAGGTGCAGGGCCCCAAGGCTTTGGACTGTCCTTGAATGCTTTCCCACGTTACAAGCAGGGAGCTGGATGAGATGTGGAACAGCCAGGATCCCAGAGCATGCAAGGCAATCATTTTAACCACTAGGCTATCACATCGAGCCCTATTTTTATTTTTTTCTTAGATTTATCTATTTATTTTGAAAGTTAAAATTACAGAGAGAGATAAATAGGGAGAAAGATCCACAGTCAATCTACTGGTTCACTCCCCAGATGTCTCCAATGGCCAGCACTGAGTTTGGTCCAGCACTGGTCATGAGTTTCACCTGGGTCTCCAACATGGGTACAGGGGCCCAAGCACCAGAGCCATCCTCCACTGCTGCCTATGAGATGCTGGCATTGCAGGAGGTAGCTTTAACCACTATGCCACAAATGTTGACTCCACTTTTGCTAGCTCTATTAAAATCATTTAGCTCATTTGTACTCTTTGTGAATGCTTCAACAATATCTTGAGATTTATTCATGCTTATCATGTGACTATCACTGACTCAATCCACTATATGAACTCATGGTTATACACCTATTTTCTCTGTGGGCAGACATCTGATTTACTGCAAGTTGGAGGCTCTCATCAATAGTCCTTCTATAAACTTACTTACATAAAAACTTTTCTACATTTCTGGTAAGTGTGTATGAATTTGTTATTTGATAGATACTTGGGAACAGACTCAAAGAGTCACAGGGTATGGGCTCATTTTCTCTATGCTCTTGAAATAAAGAAGATGAAACAAAAGAATGAGAAGGAAACATCTTTTAACAAATAAAAACCAAACTGAGATCAAAAGGCAAGATAAAACCACTAATAGTTGGAAAAGCATGTTATCTGTTACTAATAATTTCATTTGAGCATTTAAACCAAAAGAATAGAAGAAAATACAGTTCTTTTCCAGGGGAAGGTGAGGTGCAATTTTATTGCTTATGGAACTTTACTATCGCACACACTGGGTCACACCACCCAGGTCAATGACCACTCTCATGCTGATGGAAAGACCTACAAGATAATAGTATCCTTATGTGAATAACAAGAAAACCTCTTAAACTTCTTGAACTTGGCATGTCTAAGAGCTCTTCTAACTATTGTAAATGCAGACTATGTCCGTACTCACCCAGCTGTTCCTGGAGCACAGACTCAAGAGACAGCCTTGATGTACTTTTTTCCTCCCAATCCATCAAAATCTCTGTTCTATGTTTAAAAGCTATACACTTCCTCCACGGCCCAGCCAATGGCAGCTACAAGAGCTTTCAATGTGATTTTCTTGCTTCTCATCTTGTCTGCTTATAATCCATCATTCACCCAGCAGCCAGTACAAATTAAGAGTGCTCATACCTCCATTTACCCTCAGAACAAAAACCAACTTCCCCACGACAACCACAGGCCTTCTTGATCTGACCCCTGACTCTCTGTTCTCACCTCTTAGCACTCTGCCATCCTCACCATCTCCAGCAATCTGTTTCCCCTAGTACATCCACCTGCTTCCTCATTTGGGAGTTCTGCCCATACCACTCCTTCTGCCTAGACTCCCTGGCTCTCCAGCCTTACCCCACATACTCCCTCACTACCCTACCCTCAGATATTACCGTACTACTTTACCTCCACATACTACCTTACTGCCATGCATTCACATATTATCTTACTCCCTCATCCCCACACACTACCTTACCACCTTACCCCCACATAACACCTTACTGCCTCACATACTCGGCTTTGCATTAAGAGGCCCCCTCCTTTTCAAGCCAGCTATTACTGTTCTGATGGTCACTTACCTATCACCCCCATTTTCTTGCACAGCATCTATTATTGCAATCTAAAATTACCTGTTTATTACCTCTACTCCATTATAACTTCTCTAAGGGCTGAGTTTTGTCCATCTTGTTTATTATTTCCAATGACTAATAACTTGATAAGCAGTCCCAGAAGCACTGCACAGACTCTAATCATACTGATTTTGGTTAGCATATTATAGTTTACTACACTTTAAATTATATCTGTTAAGTATCTGTTATTCATTTATTGTACATAAGCTGAGCTTTAGCTGTAAACACAGAACACATTGACATTAAATGAGTATAAGAGCAGAATGACCTACCACTGTGCTAATTAGAAAATGCAGAAGACATAAAACTGTCTTAACAACAGGAAACAGACTAAACATCATTTACAAGAAGGAATGACAAGCTCAAGAATAAAAACAAAATCCAGAAAGCATAGTTAGAAAAATTTTCATTTTAAATAGTGGCAATATAGGCAGGTGCCTAGCCCGTGCTTAAGGTGCCACTTGGGAAGTTTGTGTTCCATACTGGAGTGTCTGGTTCAAGTCCCAGCTCCACTTTTTGATTCCAGCTTTCTACTACGTACATTCCAAGAATCATGAAGTGATGCTCAAGGAGCTTGGTCCTTGCCCCACTCCTGGGTGCACGTACTGAGTTCCTAGCTCCTACACTTGACCTGATCTAGAGTTCCAGCTTTTGGAGGTATGTGGGGAGTGAACCAGTGGGTGGGTGGAGAATCTCCTTTTGCTTTCAAATAAATGAGAATTTAAGATAATGATAATCTCAGACAGCTCAATTTTCTCTTGGAATGTGAGTCTTATTTTAAAATATGCCTCATGAACATGCCACCTATTGTGATGGTTTGCATGAAACATTAAACTTAAGTTCAAATCATGACCCTAAGTTGTTTGCTCTTAATCCCAGGGTTTCTGACTGTGGCCATTTATATTTTATTTTATAGACCACAAACGATTCTGATGTACAACCAGAATGAGAATACTGCCTGAATATTCTAAAGGTGATACCACACTTGAAAGATAATTAGGAAACAAGGGTTTACCATAGTCTAGATGTCTTCAATAAAAGACATTCATCCCAACCCAAATGCTGCACCTGTACTCACCTTTCTGAAAAATCAGAGTCGATAAATTCTCTAGCCCGTTTCCTATCACTAAAAAAAAAAGACAGCATAAAAACACTTACATAAACACAATTTTATTATGACTTGCCTAATTCTACACTGAATACATCCAAAGAAAAAAAATGAACAAATATACAAGTTATATACATAAAATTTAATTTTACCATGGGAATAAGATACTTTGACACAAAAATCATAGGCTGAAATGAGCTTAATAAATATTTAGGGAGGAGAACATTGCATGTCTACAAATAAGAAGAGGAAATGTTTATTTGTTCTGTAATAACTGACAATAAAAACACTAGACAAACAGTCTTGTCACCCCAATATAAAACACAGCTGGAGCTGAAAACATACAAATCTTGATTATCTCCAAAGCGGGTTAACACTCCTAGGAAGGGCGTGGCTTTCATGTTATAATCTTCCTGGCCACGCAGAAATCCAGGGTCACCTTTAGACATATGAGAATTTTCACAAGGATTGAATAAGGGTCATGGGGTTCCAGGTGATCCTGTCATTTCATCTTATTTGATATGTACACATAGAAACTTCTTCTGTCTTTAATATACATGTGTATTTAAATATACGTGTATATAATATGTATTACCATGAATATGATTGAAAGCACTTGCATGAATTCATTTAATAACCTATGGAAGACTCTGTTAACATGTACTGCCTGGTGGCTAAAAACTCACTTTATGAGAGAACCATGAACGCAGACAACCTTGTATCAATGACTTCTACACTCAGGACTTCTAAGAAGGGATGAGTATTTAGCCTTACTGTTTATGACCCCAGTTAAGACACCTGGAATCTACACTGGAGTACCCACGTTTGATAGCCAGCTTTAGCTCTTGAGTCTACATTACTACTAAAGAAATCCCTGGAAGACAGTAGTGACAGCTCAAGGGCTGTATTCCTGCCACCCATATGAGAGATCTGGATGAACCATCAGGCTTCCAGTTTGGGCCCAGCCTCATCCCAGCTGTTGCAGGGAGTGAGCCAGTATGTGAGAACTTGCTATCTCTCTCTTCCACTCTCTGCCTCATAAACACACACACACATAAACAAACAAGACCAAAGAAGCGGACTTCTAAAATGACAAAATGAGGCTTCGAGTAATTTATCCAAAGTGCTTCTTTTATGGAAGCATGAAATATTAAAATAAGGAGTGAGAAATGCTAGGTAAAGGTACTCCACAGAAAGAAGTGAAACATAAATAGCTGATGCGGAAAGTGGCAAATGAGAAACGCAGAACAGACATTTACTTAATTGGCCAATGTTTAAAAACAATCAAGGGATGTGGCTGGCATTGTGGTTCACCAGGTGAAGCTGTTGCTTGTGAGGTAGGAATCCTACACTAAAGTGCCAATTCAAACCCTGCCTACTCTGATTCTGATCCAGCTCCCTGCTAATACATCAGGGAAGGCAATGAAAGATAGCTCAAGTACTTGGGTCCCTGACACCCATGGGAAACCAGATGGAGCTCCTGGCTTTTGGCTTGAGTCAGTCCCAGCCCTGGATGTTGTAGCTATTTGGGGAGTGAACCAGCAGGTGGAAGATCTTTCTCCCACTGTTTCTCCTTCTTTGTTGTTCTGCCTTTCAAAGAAATAAAATCAGCATTAAAAAATAAAGGACAAACCTAATTAAAAATGTAAAAATACTGTCTTCTCTAGTTCCTTTATCTTTACAGAAAAATAAGAATTCATAAGGAAAATGCTGAGAATGGCTAACACTTAACATATAACTACTTAGGCATGTTAAAATAACATACAAGACAGTTTTTATATCTCCAAAGCAGATAAGTACTGCAGTCGTAAGAAGCAGTCTCGTTTCAGAGTTGAGAAGGCAGGAGATTCAGTTACAAGTTACTGTACTGGTTACTGGTTTTCCTGTTTACAAATGGTTGCTCCAGAGATGATTTATATCTAAGACGTAAAGTGAAATAAAACAGGTGATTTTAAAGGAAGCACATTTTGTTAAAGCAACTAAACTCATAATTAAAAAAAAAACAAAAGAACAGAAGACAAGAGAAGTTAGGAGGAAAAAAAAAAGCTCAGAATTTTAAACTTTTTTTTTTTTCATTTTAAGGTTCTAAAAAACAGTACCTGGCCACTCTTACCTGGGGACCCAGCCAGTAGCTTCAGCGATGTGTGTCTGAGTGACCATGGCTGGGGCAGGGGTGTATGGATGCCCAATCAGAACACTTCCTGAACTGGCTAGTCTCTGTGGTGTGCTTATAATCTGTAAAGCGACGGACAAAGAAAACACTCTTAATGATTAAAAGGAGGCAACAGGCAGCAAAGACCCTACAATGCTGTCCCAGAGGTGTTTTAAAGCCCATCACCTAAAACAGGAGCACTTCCGTTAATTGTGTTTATTTATATCCTTAAAACAATGTCCTTAGTATTGGCACGAGGTCACAATGTAGGTTTTAGCAAGTAAGTAATGATTTTCAAGGAGTCAGTGACAATGTTTGAACATCAAACAATGAAAACTTTGACAGAGATGAACTGCAGCGGGATTTCAGTTCCTACTGCTGGAGTACCATGAAAAGGGCGTGAGTCCTCACAGTTCATTCTACACTCAGACATTACAATTTGCATTATTAAGTAGGTGCAATTTTATCTTTCTGTAAAATTTTATTCATATTTTATCTGAAATGCAAAGAGAGATTGAGATCCATTGGCTGATTTATTCCTTAAATGCCTGCATAACTGGAAGTGGATTAAGTCAAAGTCAAGAACCTGGAACTCAATCTGGATCTCCTGTGGCCCAGAGCTGGCATCGGCAGGAAGGTGGAATTGGAAATGGAGCCAAGACCTAAATCCAGGCACTCCTGGGATGCAGGTACCCAAACATAGTCTTCACCACCGTGTCAAATGCCTTAAAATAATTTGCATCATTGAACATACTCCTAAAAGACATTTTTATTTATTTTACTTATTTGAAAGGACAAGTGGGAGAGACAGATAGACAAGTAATCTTCCACCCACTGGTTTACTCCCCAAACACTAACAATAGCTGGGGCTGTCCCAGGCCAGATTTAACTTAGGTGTTCCAAGCGGATGACAGGGACCCAACTCCTTGCGCCGTTACCTGCTGCTTCCCAGGTGTGTAGCAGCTGCCAGCTGCAATCAGCAGTGGTGCTGGAAGTGGAACTCAGGCATCTCAGGCAGTGGCTGCACTGCTATGCCCAACATCTGCCCCTTAAAAGCATGTTAAGGCTATAAGACATCCTATTTTGAGTGAATTTACCATTCCCTATTTATATGTACATATAAACTCACAGAACTTTAATTACTATCATAATTAGTGCTGTAACAAATATTTTTCTGCAGTGACCTTGGACTTAAGTTCTATGTAGTAAGGCAAGACTCGAGAAAGGGAACCAATAGAACCAAGAATATGGACTTTTTCCTCAAGGTTTATTCATATGTGTTATCAAGCTTGTTTCTCCAGGTCTCGTAAATTTCCACTGGTGGAAAGAACATGTTTTCTTTATTCCCACCCGCCCCCCAAAAGATGTTGTAATACCAAAAAGACGGCTACATGGCAGTAGCTCTTAAGATATTATCACCACCCCAACTCTTCCCAAAAGCGTTTTGCTTTAGTGAACCAAATCAGACTGGTGATGTGACTGACGAAGCAGGTATGTCTTTCCTTCTCTGTGTAGATTTGCCTTTCCAGTAAATATAAATAATAAAAAAAAGAAATATCATATTGTATCAGTGTACAAGCCTCCTTCCCATGCATCTCTGAATTAAACACAAACATTTGGTTTCTCTGCAACAGATCAGTCAGGCTATGAAAGCCAGGGAACAGCTGGGCTCCACCAGAAGACTTGCTGCCTTCAGTCAGCATGCTGATGTTCTACTGCCACCTACAGTCAGAAAAGCCAAGAAAGCAGATTCTGCAGAGCAAAAGGAATCTACCAAAGGTGTTTTATGAAAGGCATCCATTACTTGGACAACATTCGTGTTTCATAAACAGCATGTGGTCTTTTTTTTTAAACTTCCTGAAATAAAATGGCCATGAAATTCTTAGCAATCAAAATGTGTACCTATGTATGACAACCTCCAAGGTCGTCTGCAAAACTCTTAGATAAACTATCATCCATTCCAACACAAAACTAGCTTTTATGACCACCGTGAAACCTTGCAGCTACAGGCTTTTCAAAGCTCCACACCCCTCCAATGTCCACATGATTGCCAGCAGAATATGGGTGAGGCTTTACCCATGAGCTACCCGACCACTAAGATGCTCCAAAGTCATGGATAGGGAACTGAGGGCAAGAGGACAGTGTCTGAAAGAAGAGGGAGAGACCTGAAAAAGGGCTCTAACAGGGCATCGCCCACTTAGTAGCTCTAAGAATCCGCCTTGACCAAGGGATGGACAAAAACCAAAAATTACTGTTCACTGGTCCCAAGGCTGGAGGTCCAAAACCAAGCCACAGGCCTATCCATCTTCTGGCAAGGGTGTGGTGTTCTCCCCAGTCCCCACAGCTCTGATGTGACAGCAGAGATGTTGGGGTACAGGGCTGCTTCCGCTCACTACCACTCAGGAGCAAAGGGCTCACACCTTCTCACCTCCTCTTCTGACTACTACAACAGGGGTTACGGTTGAATGGGAAGGGGAGACAGGGGGTGGGTGGAGAGACACTTTCAGATAATAGCACTTTGCCCCAAGCCCTCCAGAACGCCTAGCCGTCTCGCATAGAAACATGCCTTCTATTTCACATTCAGCAGTTGCGTAAGTCTTCACCCCTTCCAGACCCCCCCTCAAAACTACCTAAGTTGTCTCTCACAGAAACATGCCTTCTATTTCACATTCAGCAGTTGCGTAAGTCTTTGTTCCTTCCGGCACCAACCCCAAAATCTGAAGTCCAGAAGCCTCACAGATGAGATTCAAAGATATGATTCTTCCTGAGTCAGGTTCCCCTCCAGCAGTGCCTCCTGCAAACACTGGTGGGGCAGGCACAGGAGAGACACCCCCAGCCCACAAGGGAGAAACAGGAAAGAAAAATGGGGATAACAAGGCGTCACCAAATCCACACCCAACAGGGTCAACCCTGAATTCACACAGGTGGAAGTCCTCTGTGTTTCCACAAGTCTGGAGTCCTGTCAGTGGCCAGACCCCCATGGCTGCCCTGGGCATTGCTGCCACAGCTAAGGACTTCCTGCAGACAGCCCCCTCCTTCCGTCGTGCTGTCTGCAGTTCAGCCTCAGCTCCCAGGGCACCCTGTGAAACTTAACTTTAAGCAGGGAGGGTCTAGACACACAGCTCACACACTCTGCACAGAAATGCCAAGGTAGGGTGTGTGTGTGTGTGTGTGTGTGTGTGTGTGTGTGTGTGTGTGTGTGTGTGTGTGTGTGTGTGTGTGTGTGTGTGTGTTTTAAGATTTATTTATTTGAAAGTCAGAGTTACAGAGGGAGAAAAAGAGAGACTGAGATCTTCCATCCTGCTGGTTCATTCCCCAAGTGGCTGCTATGGCGAGGGCTGGGCCAGACTGAAGCCATGAGCTTTCTCTGGCCTTGCCACAGGGTGGCAGGGGTCCAAGAATTTGGGTCAACCTCCATTGCTTTTCCCATGCCATTAGCAGGGAGCTGGATCAGCACTGGTGCCTATATGGGATGCTGGCATTCCAGGCCGTGGCTTTAGCCACTATTTCACCATGCTGGCTGTGAGATGGCCAGATTTTAACTCGGTGCTGTCTGGAGGAGTGTCTTCTATGCCCTGAACTGCACCTGGGCCCACTGGAGTCACACCTGGAACGACTAAGAATACTGTGTCAGAACAAACTTGAGGCAGTGCAGGGCACTGGTCTCTGACATGCCTTCCAGCTCATTCTTCACTGTCTGGGTTAACAGCACTAGGCTCTCGCTCATCCATTGCAATCTTCTTATCAAAAAGTTGCTTGACCTGTGCTTTGTCCCAGACGTGCATCCCCACACAAATCGGTCAGGCTGAGAATTTCACAAGCCTTTTAAGTCCTGCCTTCCTTTAGACTGCAGGTTCCACTTCATCTGTGTATTTCTCCTTGAATTTTATTACAAGCAGTCAAGAGAAGCCGAGTATGGCAGGCACCGTGGCACGGCATTTGAAATTGCTATTTGTGCAGCATTCCATATCACAGCGCCAATTCCAGTCCTGGGAGCTTTGCTTCTGATCCAGCTCCTGCTAATTCCTTAGGAGGCTCAAGCACTCAGGCCTCTGCCACACCGGAGAGAGGACAGAGCTCTGGCTCGGTCAAGGCTGGAGCAGCCATGTGGGGAATCAAAGATCACCCTACTGATACTTCTCCATGACTCTTTCAAATAAATAAAATGAAATCTTCTTTAAAAGTTTCAAAACAGAGAGCCAACCCATACCCTCAAACATTGGTTAGAGATTTCTTCCATGGAATATTCTATCTCATTGCTTATAAATTCCTTCTTTCCCAAAATAGTGCCTCACAAACATAATTCTGTCAAGGTCACAATCACTCTGTGGCAACAATGGTCTTGCCTGCCCCTTGCTTCCCTGAGATCCCATGGCTTTCACGACTCACATTTCCACCAACATTCTGATGGTGACCACCTGAGCTCATTTTTAAATAAATAGGGGTTTTCTCTCTACTTCCACTGGGCCCACAGCAAGGTGTGTGTGCTGTGGCCTGTTCCTCCATGCTCTCAGCCAGTTTCTGCCCATTTCTTAGCCTCGGAGCCACTTTTACAGCTATCTGTGTGTGCCACAGCACCCCACTTCTGCCTTTTTCCCCCCTTGGAACATTTATCCTTTTATTCGAAAGACAGAGTAAAAGGGCGGTGGGATGGGGAAGGAGAGCCAAGAGCTTCCTCCAGGTCTCCCATCCAGGAGCAGGGTCCCAAGGCCCTGGGTCATCCTTTGCTACTTTCCCAGGCCATAACCAGAGAGCTTGATCAGTAGAGCAGGGACATGAATCAGCACCCACACAGGATGCTGGAGCCACATAGCAGCTTTATCCACTATACCACAGCGCTGACCCCAGCACCCCACTTCTGGGTTCTAAGTTTTGTTTTAGTCTGCTGCAAAAAAAAAAAAAATACCGTAGACAAGCTCATTCATAAAAAACATAAATTTAGCTCTTTCAGTACTGAAGGATGGGAAGTACATCAAGGCAGTACCATGGTTCTTGGAGAGGCACATGAAGACCACTGGGGTCTACAGCAAACACGAAACCAAAAACTGTTCCTTGTCCAAGAACTCAGAATTTAAAAATTACCTGTGGGGATGGGCAGGTGCTAAAGCATAAAATCTTACCGTGTCACCACTCCACTTCTAATCCACCTCCCTGATTGTGCCTGGGAAAGCAGTGGAGGAAGGCTCAAGGCCTTGGGACCCAGCACCCATGTGAGAGACTCGGAACAAGCTCCTGGCTTCAGATTAGCTCAGCTGCAGCCACTGCGATCACTTGAGGAGTGAACCAGCGGCTGGCAGATCTCTCTCTGTAACTCTACCTTTCAAATTAAAAAAAAAAATTGTTTGACACAGGAAAACAAAGTCTTGAGCTGGTCTAGTCTAAGGCAAAGCTCTTGTTCCAACTTTTACTTGGCTAAGCCTGAGGTTTACGCTCAGGATCATAGGAGGGTACGTTATGATTGCCTTGTCTGGGCCACAGCAGACATATGGGGAGTGAACCAGCAGATGGAAGATTCTCTCCAGCTCATTGATGTAAATAAACAAATCTTAAAAAAAAAAAAAAGAAACACTGTAAGGGCCAGTCTCCTAGAAGTCTGAGAGTGTTTCGTCTTTCTGTTTATAAAATCACATTCCAAGTTACAGATTTTTCCTTCAGGTGCCTAGGTCTCGTGTACCCACCCACAGAGCGGGACACAACTGCTTAGCAAATGTTTTAAACTCTGGGCCCGGTGCAGTAGCCTAGTAGCTAAAGTCCTCGCCTTGCATCTGCCAGGATCCCATTTGGGCACCAGTTTGTGCCCCAGTAACCTCGCTTCCCATCCAGCTTCCTGCTTGTGGCCTGGGAAAGCAGTCAAGGACTTGCTTCCATGTGGGAGACCTGGAAGAGGCTCCTGGCTCCTGGCTTCAGATCATATCAGCTTCAGCTGTTGTACCCACTTGGGGAGTGAATCAATGGATGAAAGATCTTCCTCTCTATCTCTCCTTCTGTCTGTCTGACTTTCCAATAATACTAAATAAACCTTTAAAAATAAATAATAAATAAAACAAATCAAAAATAAATCTTAAAAAAAAGGGCAATAAAAAATGTTTAAAACTACCTGAAAATGACCTTGAAAGAGAACATCTACTTGTGGTTCAGGCTCTATGAGGTTGGGATTACATTCTTCATATATTTAGCAATAAATTGCATTGTATCTTCAGCTTAAATTACATAGACGACTGAGGCGTTTCGACTCACCAAGGAAACCTATCTAGAAGGTCTGAAGATTTCCTAAAAGCGACAGTTATGCTTTCAGAGAACATTACCTAGTTCCTATTTTGTGCCCATTATTCCTACTGCTTAAGATGCACATGACCTGCCAGACTGACTCCTCTGCAATGGTCCTGTAACGGGAGGCGTTTACAGTCAACAGTTCCAATGCAGATTAACTGTTGGCAAAGTAGAGTTTAGGGAAGTAAAGGTTGTTCTAGAAGAAAAAGGAGGGAAACATAAAACACAACAGATTCCAAATCAATGCAAACATCCAATACAAAGAGAGGAAAAACACATGGATTTAATACATCCACAGGCCAGATTTACAAGTGCCAAAATTAAACAGTGGAAAACACAATGCCCTTTTTTTTCAGACACCAACAGTTACAATCAGAGAAAAACAAGCTTTTAATAACAAAAATGATAAAATTACTGATAATATTTAACCAAACATCATTGATGCAATTATCCCGCACATTAGCCCTGGCCCAAGTGAAGTTTCACTTCTGAGATTCAATATTTTTCTTACCATTTGGGGTCCAACATTCACATTTATTGGTCCTAGAGTTTTTGGTAAAATCTTTGTTGGTGAGTTGGTGCTGGAAACTGGAAATGCAACAAATGAAAGATTACCTGCAATGACACAAAAGAATAAGTCAGTGTTCCATCGCACAGGGCCACTAGCTGTCTACAGGCCGCTGGCCCTCACTCACTCGCTTTGCTAATTTACGATGACCTTAAGAAGTATGTCAGAAACAAGAAACTTTACCAAAAAGCTACACTAATTACTGCCTTGTCGAATACTGTTTGTTCTGCTGCATATGCAATCTTATTTATATCATACTGGAATTCCATCAAAAAATAAATACTTCCAATCTAACAAAATCTATTGACCTTTCAGCTGGTCTTTAGAGAAAAAGCAATCTAAGGTGGTTTATATTGTGATTTATAGCAGGATTCAAAATAAAATCAGATCTTTAATACACATTAAGGCACAACATGAAGTACAACATGCAGTCCAACAAAGGCCTCCTTGCAGTCGTTGGAAATTTTTTGGAATCTAGAGTATTCAAGAAAAAGGCACGATGCTCACTAGTTGTAATACTGGAAACAGTGGCTCTGTGCAGTGTTCTCAAATTAAGAGAGTAAACTGCTTCCCAAAATATCTACCCCCTACCCCATCCAATTAAAAGACAACCAGCTCTGTTCTAAACTACAGTATCAATTAGTACCTTCTCTGGACAAACTGCAGCATTCAAAAGCTAACATAGCAATCAAACAGAACCAAGGAGATCACCCTTTGTTACACACGAAGGGGAGGCCAGTACAGAAACCTTCAAGAACGCCAACACAAGAAAGCAGGGTTGGAGAGGCCACGTCTGCCCAGGCTCGACCCTGCACTTTACTCTCTCACGGTTTTATCACGCCCCGGGAACTCCTCTGTTCTCACTACTGAGAGATGACTGAGGCCTCTGCCTCCACCCCATTTAGAAACAACATCCATTAAAGCCTTGAGCTGCCTGCATCTTACCGGGTGCTCCTGGCTCTGGATTCTTCATGCTGCGGGCACTTGTCTCATTTCTAACAATGCAGATGGTCAGATCTGGTATGATGGTGCATAATCCCTCCCGGGGAAGCCAGAGGCAATGCCAGCACCAGGTGCAGGGAGGGCTTGGGCTCCAGAGCCTTCCAAGGTCACCCAGATGGCTGCACAGGGCAGCCAAGGACGAGCACTTCTGCTTTCATTGGACGTCCTGCCCCAGAATGCTTTCCTGGACACTTTACACCGGCAGCAAACCCGTCTTTCCTCTGACAAACCTGTTTTGGACACTCCTAACTTCCGGGCTTCGGATGCTCCGCATTTCTTCCCAAATGCCTCCGAAACTCTCTAGACTGGTGATAACAGCTCCTGTCTGAAGGCCTCACCCTTCCTAGCTTTGGTTTTAGCTAACTCCCTCCACACAAACTCCACAACTCCAAATAGGTGACTACTTTCCAGGCCCAGAAAGACCCCCAGATGCAACTGCCTACCTCTGCTGTACAGTCCCACCCCACCCCATCCCCCTTTGGCTGCAAATGTTCTTTAGTCAGGCTGAAAGCCAGACAACCTCCAGAATGGGTTCTGAGAGACAGCTGGGTGCAGGCCTAATTCAGAGCCTAGCATACACGCAGGAAACACGTGACCTCACATAAAACACATGAACTTATTTATTCTTATTAGAAAGTCAGATAATCAGAAAGCAGGAGAGACAGTGAGGAAAGAGCTTCCATCCATTCATTCACTCCCCAAGTGGCTGCAATGGCCAGAGTTGCACTGATCTAAAGCCAGGAGCACAGAGCCTCTTCCGGGTCTCCCACATGAGTGCAGGGTCCCAAGGCTTTTAGTCATCCTTGACTGCTTTCCCAGGCCACAGGCAGGGAGCTGGATGGGAATAAGGGCCACCGGAATTAGAACGGGCACCCATATGGGATCCCTGCATGTGCAAGGCAAGGACTTTAGCTGCTAGGCTACTGCACCAGGCCCTGTGGCCTCTTTTGACACAGGAAGGAAATGAGTTTGGGGGAGACTGACTAATGTGTGCATCATCTCAGATGCAGCCCCAAGATGGGTGGTATGTGTCACTTGCTCTGAAGGAGCTGGCCCTGCATCTGGTTGCTCTGCGTTCTGGAGCTAGCTCTCCGGTTTCTCCCACAATCTCTTCTTATTTGCAGACAGTCCTGCTCTAAGTGATCTTTCTCGGCTTTGTATCTCAGCACCCATCAAGGCTGGGACACAAGACAGGTGCGGGAAACTATAAAAAACACGTTTAGCTGGGGCCGGAGTTTCTGTTTCCAAAGCTCAACAGCAAACTCCCCATAATGCAGCCAAACCATCATCCTGAGCGATTTTTTTTTCTTCCACCAAAGACCTCTTCTCACACTGATCGGAAATCAATCTGAATGTCAAATCCTTTATTTTATTTTAAAAACATGACCAGCCAACCGGAAGTATGAAATAATTCCTAACCCTATAAGTCTGCAACTGTTCCTCCCACTCATATAAAATGTGTATAATGGACTTAAAGTTCACGGAAAACAGAATTAAAAGATAAGTTTCGGGACCAGCACAGAGGCACAGTGCATGAAGTCACTGCCTGAAGTGCTGACATGCCATATGGGCACTGGTTCAAGTCGTAGCTGTGTCAGTTCTATCCAGCTCCCTGTCAACGCATGTGGGAAATGAGAAGGATGACCCAAAATTGGCCTGCACCCACCTGAGAACCCTTTGTAACTCTACCTCTCAAATAAAAAGGTAAATCTTAAACTAATGTTTATTTCACTATTTAGAAACATTGAAATTTATGCCCAATTTTTCCATAATACATATTTTGCATGAACTTTTGAAGATCCCCAATTGCTAAAAAAAATTAAGACTACAAGGGGGCTGGCATTATATTGGGTTAAGTACTGCCTGCAGCACTAGCATCTCAAAATTGGCAATGCTTTGAGTTACTGTTGCTGCATTTTTTTTCTCAATTAAAAAATTTTTTATTGGAAAGGCAAATTTACAGAGAAAAGGAGAGACAGAGACAAAGGTCTCCCAAATGCTGGTTCTTTCCCAAGATGACCACAATGGCCAGAGTTAAGCTTGGCCAATTAAAAACCAGAAGCTTCTTCCGGGTCTCCCACGTGAGTGAAACTGCAGTCCCAAGGCTTTGGGCTGTCCTCTGCTGCTGTCCTAGGATACAAGCAGGGAGCTACATGGAAAGTGGAGCAGCCAGGACACCAATCAGCACTCAAATAGCATCCCAGCAATTGAAGGGAGAGGATTAGCCAATTCAGACATTATGCTGGGTCCCCTAACACCTCCAATTCACTGCCCTAATGACCCAACCCACATGGGAAACCCAGAAGAATCTCCTGGCTCTGGCCTGACCTAGTCCCAGCCAGTGCAGTCATTCAGGAGAGTTGGACCAATGGGTGGAAGCTATCTCTCTGTGTTTCCTTCCCTCCTTTTATAACTCTTTCAAATAAATAATCCGTAAAAAATTATGAGAACTATTTGTTCACTGATCTCTATAAGAATCCACAAAATGGGCACGGCACTGTGGCCTAGCGGCTAAAGTCCTCGCCTTGAAGGTGCCAGGATCCCATAAAGGCGTCAGTTCTAATCCTGGCAGCTCCACTTCCCATCCAGCTCCCTGCTTGTGGCCTGGGAAAACAGTCGAGGACAGTCCAGGGCCTTGGGACCCTGTACCCACGTGTGGGATACCTGGAAGAAGTTCCTGGCTCCTGGCTACGGATCGGTGCAGCATCAGCCATTGCAGTTGGGGAGTGAATCATCAGACGGAAGATCATCCTCTCTATCTCTCCTCCTCTCTGTATATCTGACTTTGCAATAAAAATAAAATAAATCTTAAAAAAAAAAAGAATCCACGAACTGAACAATGATGCATGTACATGGCTCTGCACAAAAGCTTTTAACTAAGAGGCACTACCACAGAAGCAGTGACCATGCCATACGTAATGCAAGAAAGAACAGGGCATTTGGGCAGGTGTTGGCTGGTGCTGCAGGAGCAGGTTACTCTGTAAAATTATTTTAAGAACACAAAAGATGATACTTACAACTAGGGAAGAGATTAAGTCTAATCTTTTTTTTTAAAGATTTATTTTTATTATTATTATTTTTTTTATTGGAAAGGCGGATATACAGAGAGGAGAGACAGAGAAGAAGATCTTCCGTCCGATGATTCACTCCCTAAGTGAACGCAACGGGCCGATGCTATGCCAATCCGAAGCCAGGAGACTCTTCCGGGTCTCCCACGCGGGTGCAGTGTTCCAAAGCTTTGGGCCATCCTCGACTGCTTTCCCGGGCCACAGGCAGGGAGCCGGAAGGGAAGATAGAACCGGCGCCCATATGGGATCTCTGTGCATGCAAGGCGAGGACTTCTTTCTTTTTTTTTTTTTTTACCCTTTATTATTTATCATTTTATGATACACTTCCATAGGCTCCTGGGATTTCCTTAACCCCTCCCCAGTCCCCCCACATCCCGACCTAGTTCTTCTATACCATTACTAAAGTATAGTTCTTCATACACAGTCATATGTCCATCATTGCAGGCATGGCCAATGGCAGAGAGTCCAGCATCTTATTCTCAAGATATATTTAACAGTTTCATTGGGAGTCCCTCTTTGTCTGGAAGCAGAGATGCATACTGCATTGTATCCTCACATCTGGATATGTTAGTCTCCATTTCATAGTTATTGTACATCCCCTTAAATGAAAAGCCACAAAACAAAATCAACAGAAAGAAAAAAAAATTAACAACACCACAAAGTTAAAAAAACATGCTACTACTGATAGATTAATGTGTCTCTGAAGAAATGAAAAAGAAAATCAAGAACCTTATTGAAGAAAATGATGCTACTCTATGATCTATGAGTCACTGAATAATTTAATCACAAGCAGCTGTTTTGAAGAGATGAATCTAACAAAAACATCAGAATCTATGAGATACAGCTTCTGCTGATTTTTGTTGGTGAAATGTGTCTCTTCTAAACAACAAATAGACTGGTTTTGTTTTTAAATCCAGTCTACTAATCTATGACGTTTGATTGAGCTTAAGCCAATTACTTTCAGGGTTAATACATAT